CTTCGTAGACTTTCTTCAGGAACGCTTTATTCTTGATTGTTTTATTTGATGTTTTAATCTTTTATAAATCACTTTGAGGCTTTTCCTTAAAAGTATAGTGTTCTAGGAAAGGAATAATAATAACAACAAAAATAAATATACCTGCTTCTCGCATAGTCATGTTTTGTGGATTTGAGGAAGCAAGGCATTATGCCTCATTCAGTCAGGGAACTCACAGAGGGTGGCAAGTACTACATTAGGAGAGTACAGTACCTTCTATCCAGCTCTTGTGCAAGAGAAACAATACCTGTTCTTAAGTGGTGCCTGCTGCCTCACATATGTACACAATCTAAAAAATGCACTTAGCATTGTGATTTAACTATTGATTGTTTTTATTAGATTAAATCTGCACAATTATACAACTAGCATTGCTGGAGTTTTTACCTAGAAACAGATGTACCGTATTTTTTGCCCCATAGGGCACACCGCCCCATAGGATGCACCTAGGGGTTTTTTTGGGGGGGGGAATAAAGGGAAAAAAAATTATTTCCCTAGGCCTGCTATCCGCAAGCCTAGGGAGCCGCGCCGGTCTCCCCAAGCTTGCGGAGAGCTGCGCGAAGCCCGGGCGCGCTCTTCAGCACGCCCCAGGCTTTGGAATGCAGGCAGCTCTGCACAAGCTTTGGGAGCCCGGCGCGGCTTTGCGCTGGGCTCCCAGGGGTTGCGCAGAGCTGCGGGAAGCCCGGGAGTGCAGGCAGCTCTGCGCAAGCTTTGGGAGCCCGGCGCGGCTTCGCGCCGGGCTCCCTAGGGTTGGGCAGAGCTTCCTGAAGCCTGGAGAGCGAGAGGGGTTGGTGCACACCGACCCCTCTCGCTCTCCAGGCTTCAGCGAAAGCCTGCATTCGCCCCATAGGACGCACACACATTTCCCCTTCATTTTTGGAGGGGGAAAAGTGCGTCCTATAGGCGAAAAATACGGTAATTAAATGGTGGCGGTTTTTCACAAGTAAAGGGTCTTTTTGTGATCCAAGAAAATAGTACAGAAAGGTGGGCAAGACACTCATTTTCACCAACAACTTCCCATTTGCACTTGCTTTATATATCATGCATTTCTAGAAGTCAGCATTTGTGCATCTAATTTAATATTTCAGCTGACCAAAAGTACCCCATAGTTGTGTTTTCGAATTCTAATACCTATATACATCTGCAATATGTATCTTGTTGTTGTCATTGCTGCTGCTGTTGGCGGCGGCATTCGTCTGTCTCAAGAGACAATGGAGTGGCCCCTCCAGGGGTGAAGTCAAACTGCATTAGCAGCACTGAAGTGACCTCCCCAGGACCCAAGCCTGGGCAGTGTGTATGGAGGTCATGCTGATGTGATCCAAAGAAAGCAGAGTAATACATTTGGCACCAGCTTGGCTGGAGGAATTGCCAGAAGGAGGTGTACAAGGCACCATCCAACCATCTTTGGGTCTCCACTCTAGATTTGTGTAGGGTTTACTCCTTAGCTTCTTCCTCTCCCAAAGATATCCTGCAAGGCAGCTGAGGTTTAGGATCAGAGTTTTCCTTCTTTTGGATGGGCTAACTTCCCAGGTTGACAGGCCCCATTTGCCCCTCACTTCCCTCTACAGCTCATGCAGAAACAGCTTTCTTGACCAATTCCAAACCAAATCTCACCTTCAGTGGATTTCTGATACATGATACACCAAAATCACATCAAGTACGCAGCACAACTGCTATAAAAACACCCCTTCTACATAAAGCTATAATTATGACAGACACTCGGGCCTGCTCAGCAAAACAGTAGACAATGTTAATCCTCTGATTACAAAAATGAGCTTTGGTAAACTATGATTTCTAAAATGAGGGCTCTTCGTGGATGCTCATTTAAGATCTTTAAAGGAGAGCTTTAAGCTCTCGGTACTTATTTTTACCTCATGCCTTTCATCTAGGACTGAATTCTGGAATTATATACTTAAGAGAGATTTGAAAGCCGTGGCAGAGAATAGGCTGAGCTATCCACAACAGAATGCCTTTCCAGCATCAGCAATTCTTAGCTTTCTTTACATGGAAACACATTTAAGTGATTTTTTAAAAATCAGAGGAATGAACTGACACTGTGTCATTAAATTATTTCCGGGAGGGTAAACTGAAACAGAGAATGCAAAACAGTTAATAGACTGTTATATGGCTGGAGAAACTGTGCAATGAACATCACATCATCACTATTCTTCTGCAGAATGGGGTACCTTGCAATTAAAGTGTCCTTGCTTGCGATTATAGGGCTCTCATTTTGTTATAAAAGCCACGCAAAACCAGTCACCATTTATAGAAGCTAGAAGTGGAGTAGAGATTACTTCAGAAAATAGATATGCCATGGGATTAGATGTTATTGAAACCAATTAGTTGATGGCTATCTCAGCAGGGAAGCTAATTTGATCCTTAAATGTTGCTCTGGAAGTGCTGCAAATCAAGTGAATGATATTCGGTTACCAGGAAGCCAGAATTTATAATGCCCACAAAATTGATCCCAACAACAGAGATGCTCCAAACTAATAGAATGATGATAAATAAAATAAAATAAAATGGATTATTCAAGTACCATGCAAAAAAGCTCCAGAACAATACAGTACAGCAAAAGGTTGCACTCTTATTTAATTATGAGACAGTAAAACATTAAAGACAAGTAATAAAGTAGATGTAGAGGATATAAACAGATGTGACTAAATAAAGAGACGCCTGAATGGACTGTATGCCTATGTACTGCAGGCAGCACTGGATTTAGGGTGTGGCAGGCAGTTTCCCCACACAGGATGCTGAGTCCAGGGAGCACAAAACTGATAAATAATTGAGAAAATTCATTTATGGGCACCAAATTTTGACCTCGCACAGGACGCCATATTAGCATAGATTACCAAAGTCCACCCTGTTGCAAGATCCACATAAAACTGATACTATAAAACTGTGTTTCAACTATTAACTGAGATACTGCATAAACTCTTCCGTCAAGCTTATTTGCCACCTTGTACATGCCCCTGAGAACAGTCTACAGCCAGCTTTTCACCAGAGACCAAACAGCATGGCTGAGAAACAGTTATTGGGCCACTGCCTCTGCCATTTCATAAACGTGACAAGGGCATTTAATCTCAAAGGGGCAGAGCACTTTAGAATTCTGTAGTTTTGCCGTAGTACATTTACAGAGCAATCCTGTAGATGCCTTCTCAGAAGCAAATCCCACCAAGTTCAATAGGGCCTAGTTCCAGACAAGTGGGTGTTGGATTGCAGCTCTGTTCTCATTCCTGCCTTAAGTAATATCAGGTGTGTATTATTTAAGGAGATTACAAATATTTATACCATTGTGCAAGCTTGTAATTCCATACAATACTTGGGGCTTCCGAAATCTCTGAAAATGGTTCGGCTGCTCCTAGACAGGACAATATTAGCAAAATGGAAAGCACACATCCAAAAATGGAAAGCACACCTAATCACAATAGCATCTCACCCAATTTTTGTTCATTTGTGCTATTTATCTTATGTCAGACACCAATATTTGCCTCTCAAGGCTGTTCCATACACTACAGAGAAACCAACCCAGGTTTGCTATTGGGTGTGGGGCAAGGCATGTGGGGCAAGTGTACTTGCATGATACACATGTTCCCCAACACTAGTTTGTTACATTAACACATTGCATTTTAGGTCTACCCTTAAAGCAGGGGTCAGCAAACTTTTTCAGCAGGGGGCCGGTCCACTGCCCCTCAGACCTTGTAGGAGGCCGGACTATATTTTTTTTTGGGGGGGGGGATGAACGAATTCCTATGCCCCACAAATAAACTAGAGATGCATTTTTTTTTAAAGAACATATTCTACTCATGTAAAAATACGCTGATTCCCGGACCATCCGTGGGCCGGATTTAGAATGCGATTGGGCCGGATCCAGCCCCCAGGCCTTCATTTGCCTACCCATGCCTTAAAGCTTTCAAGTATACACTTAAAAAAACAGCTGCATCAAGTACCCCTTAGTCATTAACTTTAAAACGCTTTCTGTGCTTTCATACACTGGGTTTCTTGTACAATAGAGGACAAATGGTTTGAAACATGCAGTAGGTCTGATACCGTGAATCTTATTTTTTCCCCCTTGTACTTGATTTGAACTCCTTCAATCATCGGCCTCAGACAGGAGTTTTGTGCACAGCAACCCTGAGACTCTGGCAGTGGGGCTACAGCAGCTTGCTGGTGTCCTCATTTATATTACTCTTTGCAAAAAGACAACAACAAAAACCCATCACTTACCATTTAGAACAAGTTTCTTTTATTGGCAAGAAATAATTAGCATCCCCCAGAGAGGGGAATTTGAAGTTGGACAGGATAATCCAACAACTCTTATAAGAATCCTAGTCATAAATCAACATTTACTGCAATTCCGAGGTTGTTGGGGGGTTTTTTTTGGGGGGGGGGGGAGCCCATATTACTGAAAAGAACTTGCTTCCCCATGAAGGTGATTTCAAGAATGAAACTACCCCACACAGTGTCAGATGCTATTTTTGCTGCAGCATCCCCACAGCCTTTTCTTTTTCGCATTTCTGGGACAGATTTCATACAAAGTACTGCAGTTTCTCTCTCTTGAGAAACCTAAACTTAAGTGTGTCAATTGCCTTTCCCATTCAGTTACCGTAACTCATGCTAACAGGCATACTTGCTAGTGCCGTGTTTTCCTTCCAGTTTGGAATGCCCTTCTGCAAAGTCCATTGCTAACCACTTCCTCTTCTTCATTTTCCTTCAAGGTATAGAACCTGATAAAAATCTGAGCACCTGTCCAGAAAGACAGTAAACACTAGGTGCTTTCTGACATCTCACGGGGCATATCCAGAAAAAGGAGTTTACTTCCTTTTCTTCTCATTCCAGTTGTGAGTAAGAAATAAAAAGGGAAAAGGGGTTGTTACCAAGTTCAACCTCACCCTCTACTTAATGAGTGATTTAATGAGCCAAACATGCACAAGAGAGACACGCAAAGTAATCACAATGACCACTGCGATAGCTCAGTTGGTAGAGCATGAGACTTTTAACCCCAGGGCCGTGGGTTCAAGCCCCACATTGGGCAAAAGATTCCTGGACTAGATGACCCATGTGGTCCCTTCCAGCTCTACGATTCTATGATTTTATGTTATGAAGGTACAGTAGACTTTGACTTGTTAATCAAGCCATTACCCCTGGCCTGAGTGTCACTGTGATACAAATTTTCCCTTTGATAAACTGGTTGGCTCTTCTGAGTACAATTTTATGGTTAGTTAATTCAAGCATGTCAAAGAAACTGCATGCAAAGTCATAGGATACACTCTAGTAACAACAAACAATGAGGTATTCTATTCCTAGTGAAGGCAATATACATTAAACAGTCTATGCTAGCCAAACACTGCTCTGGAAGATATACAGTGGTGCCTCGCAAGACGAAAAGAATCCGTTCTGGGAGTCTCTTCGTCTAGCGGTTTTTTCGTCTTGCGAAGCAAGCCCATTGATGGGATTAGCGGATTAGCGCTATTAGCGCTATTAGCGGCTTAGCGGCTTTTAGCGGCTTTTAGCAGCTTATCAGCTTATCGGATAAGCAGATAAGCGGCTTAGCGACTTAGAAAAAGAGGGGGGAAAGGGAAAAAAAAACCCAGGAACTCGCAAGACATTTTTGTCTTGCGAAGCAAGCCCATAGCAGATTCGTTTTGCGAAGCACCTCCAAAACGGAAAACCCTTTCGTCTAGCGAGTTTTCCGTCTTGCGAGGCATTCGTCTTGCGGGGCACCACTGTAATTTAGTGCCTCTTTGACATCAGATGGTAGTTATAGTTACGTACTCTCAACACTAGGCAGGGGACCCTGCTGGCTCCCTCAGCCTGAAAGCGAGGTGAGCGCCACAACCCCACAGTCGCCTTTAACTGAACTTAACCGTCCAGGGGTCCTTTACCGTTTACCTTTACCGCTGTCAGAAGTTGATTTCTTGTTCCATTCTACCTGCTAAGTTTTTCATAGACCTAAACATGTTGAGAAGGCTATTAAACAACTTTACTTGCATCCATCAGGAGCTTCTGTAAGGGGATGAAGAAGAAGAAGAGAAGAGTTTGGATTTGATATCCCGCTTTATCACTGCCCTAAGGAGTCTCAAAGCGGCTAACAATCTCCTTTCCCTTCCTCCGCCACAACAAACACTCTGTGAGGTGAGTGGGGCTGAGAGACTTCAGAGAAGTGTGACTAGCCCAAGGTCACCCAGCAGCTGCATGTGGAGGAGTGGGGAATCGAACCTAGTTCACCAGATTACGAGTCCACTGCTCTTAACCACTACACCACACTGGATGAGCCAGAACATTGCTTTCAAAGAAAAATCAAGGTTAGCTCCAGAGGCAACTCTTCCTACCACACATGGAAAAAGAATTGCAATCTGGAGCAGACAGATACTGAGAAGGGTCTCAGGTGAATATGAGGGAAAGGATAAGGCAACTCTTTCCTGTTTCAGCAGCATGACATACAGCAGGTATTGGTCGAAAGCTGTTGCGGGGAAACCCAGTGTAGAGTCATAGTCATTACCATCACCTCTTCCTGAATTGTTCCCAAGTTGTTCGGGAAGTACAGAGGCATTATCATCAACACCACCACATTTTTCCACATTGTTCCCAAATGCTAAAAGCATTTGTTTTGAGGGCAGGGGGGGAGAGAAAAGACGACTATGTGGGGATATGATGGGAAGCTTATAAAATGACTCATGTTGTAGAGAGATTTTCTTCTCCCTCTCTCATAATATTAGATCTTTGTTGTCACCCAATGGAATCCACCTATTCGTTCAATGGGTTTCCTCACAAGTAAGTGTCCATAGGATCCCTGCCTTAGCCACCTTTTGCTTCTTGCTCTTCTGAATCATAGTTTCAGCCCTTCTGCTTTACAGCCTTCCAAAAAAAATGTTTCATATATTTTCCTCCCTTAGTGTAAAATGTGTTATTCAAGAAGATTCTGAAAGAGGCTGTGCTTTTAAACATACTCAAACAATATACCGGTATGCAGTAATCTCTTGTAATTACTGCGAAACTAACTGGAAGTGGCAGGCGTGCTGTGCAGCTCAGACACCACTATCTATGGTCACATTCTCTCTCAAGTCAGAAACCTACAAAGTAGGAGGGGTGAAGCACTATTTTCAAGCAGGCCATTCAGACTGATCAATAAAACTGTCTATGCAGAGACAGGCACAAACCAAGCATGCCCCAAACCTAAGAAAGTGCATGATGGAACTGGGTAACACAAGTGGTGGGCAGGGTTAGATGCAAGTGAGAACCAGTGCCTGCATAGCGTACTTATTTCATCTGCTGAAAAGGCTCTCTAAATGGTTTTTCCCACAGCTAAGCTTCCAAGAAGACCCCTAGCAATATGGAAATGTTACCAGGTGAGCGATGATAAGCGAAAAATCAACAGATAGCTCCCCCTCCAACTAAGTCTCCCCTAAAAATTCCAACCCACCTATCGTCCTCCATCAACTGGTAGAATGAATCCAAGTAGTATGCCAGAATTCTGGTATATAGTAGATTCCTAGCAAGTAAACTTTCAGATTCCTAGTAAAATAAATAGATAAGGGCCGAGTGAAAAAGAAGCCACTGATTCCGCATCCCAAATAACTGAAGATGCCTCCTTGTGTTTACCTCTCCTATACCTTGTTAACCTTGAGTAACAGAGCTGCAGCAACAACAGTTCTGGCCCACGAAGAATCAGAATAGAGATCAATGCTCTAATTATTAGCAGAAACTGTTTTGATTACTGAAATACCTTGCTTTATTTTTTCTACCACAGTTCCAATGACCAAAGTTGAGTTGGACATAGCTGAGGTGGTTGCCATTCAAACCAAGAGAGGGAACAAGCATCCCACCATCCCATAGAACATTCCCAGATTTTCAAACTATGGCTGCCTGAGATGGGTTGTTGTTACTGTTGTTATTGTTATTGTTATTGTTGTTGTTATTATTATTATTATTATTAGGATCAAACAGGGCATGCAAGCCAACCCAATATGAAAAGCCATGTTAGCATTGTTAACTTTTAGAATAAGGTGTATTTTGGGATTTCCAGCTTTGGAACATTAAGAGAACCAAATTTAATATAGTCCTGTATGAGGTTCATCTCCAACTATACCAGAGATAGCCAATGCATGCCTCTTCAGAAGGAAGTCGCATTGAGTTCAATGGGAAGCACCTCCAGTGAAGTTTGCAAAGCAGTGTTGGGGAATATGTGGCCCCTGGCTGTCGTGCATTCCAACACCCATCAGCCCCAGCCTGTATGTCCAATGATCAGTTGGCAGTTCTGGTCCTGAACATCTGGAGGACATCGTGTTGGCTATGCCATTCATCCTTAGCTCCATAGTACAAAAGCAGCCCTAATAAGCTTAATGAGGAAAGCACTTGGCAGACTAGTTTTATTTTGTAACCTTTAGGGCATCCATCAAAAGAACTGGCAAAATACATTTCAGAAGCAGAAGCCTTGACTGGAACACAGGAAAATTACCCTTCCTTCCTCTCCCGCCTCCCCTCTCTTGCAAGAAACGGACCGAAAATGTCTTTATTTCCTGTAATACACAGCCGAGTAGCAAGAAGTTTCCATATGGCTAAGGGAGCAGACAGGACAGTTATGCAACTGAACAGGACTAATTATACAAGTAAGTAGTTAATATGATCACCATAAAGGCCCTCAAAAATTAAGAATTTCCGGCGCGCTAGTGGGACTTTCTTCCAATGTAGAAATAGGAAAAGATAACAAGACAATGGCCTATTTAGAAGCAAGAAACAGGAAGTTCAGGAAAGTCTCTAAGCATCACTCAAGAGAGGAGATGGGGATTTTTTTTATATAATACATGCAAACATGTATCATGCCATGGTGTATGGTGGTATCTGAATGCAATGATTGTCTGGCATCCATTTACCAATACGTATACGATACCCAAACCACAAATTACTTTTAAGGGCACCAGTTAGTAGGGAAGGGGGGTGCTACTTTAAATGAAAATAAGAGGACAGGACTCCCTGAAATGTATAAAACTATTTTAAAAATAAGCTGATCATTATGGCTTTATTCAGGCTCCATCAAAAATTCCATGCAAAATTTTGATGGATACATCAAAAGCCATGTGCCTTAAATTGTGATTAAAGCAAAGGAAAATGAATCTGCAATTCCTCCTATCCCCAGCTCTCCTGCTTTCATTAATTCTCTTTGTTCCCTGCCCCGCCCCACCACAATATTTCACATACTTCTTAACACCATATGTAGCACAGTTTTGCCCAACAGCTTAGCATGCAGGAACCACACAGGCTGCTGGCTCATCTAGCACCCACAAACTGAAAGGAAATCCTAACTTGCTGTTTAAAAACATGCAACTTCCTGCATGTAATAGGAAGGTCTCAAGCCTTAGGCTTCCCCCACTCCCCAAACTTTCTAGGGTCGCAACAGTGGTGGGAGCAGTCCATGAACTGTCACCTAGTAGCTATCCCAACACTAAAACTGATTTGCAAGAGAGAGGGGGCAAAAAAAGTTATTTCAAGTCACCCTTCTCCCTTCCTCCTGCAATTCCCCAGGAAACAGGTGCTGAGGTCTCTGGGATTAAGTTTTAATCATCTGTTGCCGCCAAGGAACACAACCCAAGAAAGCAAAGTAAGAAAGCAGAGTCGGTTTTGCTGGTAACAGCTTTCATTGTGACAGCTTGCTCAGACGTGGCGGAGAAAGGGACAGATGATTCATTAGAAGTGCTGAAGTGAACAAGCTGTACAGATTTTGGTACAGCTTCCACCCCCAGCCCCCCACCTTCCCGTCACTTCCACCCGCAGAAGGCCATACTAGTCCTATTCATCACACTGCATATATAATTGGTTTGTTGCTCCATGCAATTAACAGGCATAAAAAAGAACCAAAGAAGTGTGTCCACCACAACAGGGTAGAAAGGTAGCCAAAGATGCTATGAACAGGATGCAACGGTATTTGCTGTAAAAGAGGCTTTGCCACACACTTCAGTTCAAAAACACTGGGTCTTAAAATAAAAATTTAAAAGCACTGGTGCCTTCAAGACAGATAACCAGAGCAGTTTTTAACATC